CACAACCATCACGTCTTACACATTGAAATTAGTGCGTTTGTAATTTGCGGAATGCATTACTATACTATTGAAGTAACAATAAGCTTTCATGGATATACGCGTGATATTTGTTCGCTCAGTGAATCCTTCAGAGAATACGCGTGTAATCATATTATTTATCACCACGGTGATATGAAAAAACGCTTCAGTAACGTTCACAGTCAAACAATAAAAAGTTTCGTTGATGATTTCGTATAAACCAAATACTTTCATTTGCATTCCATTCGAAATGCATCATGCATTTCGAATGGAATCATTATAAGTCCACACTAGAAATAAACATTAATACAAATGTCATCTCATCAATAAACAAGCCACAGCGATCTTCCTCATTTATCGATCACTCAAAAGATTTAGTGCCTCATGGTCAATCATTTTCTATTGATCATTATTCAGTTCTCCAACTCTCAAAAAGAGAAGAATCCCAAAAAACGACTACATATCCTTTGTAATCAATGCGTTTTGCAGACGACGAGTTATGCGCTAAGAGGTTGAAAAAACAAAAACTTTTCGATTTCTTGTCCTGTTGGAGGTGTGGGCGATTTATGATATAATGATACACTTGAAACAATTACACTAAGATTGATATTTCAAATGAAAAAATTTTAGTGTTCAAAAATAATCACCGCGTTGTAATTGTCGCATTCGCTTAATGGTCAGTGTGCATCGATGAGGAGATTGTACGCAATAATAATGATGTATAAAGAAAACTGAATAATTTAGCGTGGATGATGGAATATTAATCGTGATCGTTACTTGTGAACATCTAATCGCTTGCAGTGGAATAAATAATAATGATGACAGTAATAATTAATTGCTGCAATAGTATTAATAGCAAACGAGGAATATATGAGCTAAAGAATACTGTTTGAATGATCAGGCGAAGGATGAATACGATATAATCAACACACACAAAGATTACACCTCAATCACTTGAGGCTTCTTCGACTAAGTTTTTGCTGGTGATTTTATTGTTGTTGTTGTTGTTGTTGTTGTTGTGTTTGTTGCTCAAATAGAACGTTTAAAAAGCAGCAGCAGCACATTTACAAACACCTCACTAAAAGCTGTGCTGTCGACCGCATTAAAGCGCACCTAGATGCCAAGTGAAATAAATAAATTTGTTCGAGGGTTTTACTAGTGAGTGAGTAACAACTGCGAGAAACCACTAACTGCATCAACAATGCTTGCTTGCAGCTAGCTGTATGTATGTATTAGTTTTGGTGTGCTCTAGCAGTAAGCAAGTAAGTAAGTAAGTAAGTAAGCGTTGAAGAGCATGAATATATGTTGTGTATGCATTTTCGTTTCAAACGTTCACTGAGTGTGCTGCTGCTTCTAGGCAGCTGGTTTTATGAGTGAGTGTAGCAGCAGCAGTTGATGGATGAAAGGGTGTGCAGTGTTTGGATGGAAGATGGATTTTTGTTTGTGGTGGTGCACATGGATGTGAGTGATGTAAATATGAATAAATAGATTGACTGATGGATGAATGAATGAATAAATGCAAGGATGTGTTATGGATTGAGATGAATTACTGCTGATGCTCATGCTCATGCTGCTAGCAAATCATGAGGAGCAAAGGGAACGAAAGCCAACTGAAGTAAGTAAGACTTATAGAGGAGTGTAAGCATAGGCAAAAATGCATTAATCCGTCCATTCATGTTCGTCCATCCTTTTTTGCATGCTATATGTGGTCTAGTGTGCAGATGACCGACCAGCTGGTTACAGACTGTCGGATATCATCACAACGAATCAACAATGAATCTAATGTGTGTAATGTTCGGCTAAACTATTGTTGATTGTGGCAGCAACATGACGGTGTCACACAGCAAAACCTTAATACTAACACTGACAATAATCATCGGAGAACGAAACGAATGATAAGCAAAAAGATTTTGGACTTTCCTAATTTATCACAAGATTTGTATCCGTTCATTGCAACTGTGTTCAAATCAATCAGTACTTCTTTTTTTTTTCATATTTTTCGATCGCCTTTAGACTGCCGACCTTATGCTATCATTATATGTCGTGTCAGTGATTGTAGCTTACCTCCAAACGATGCCTGTTTCGTGTAATCGGATGAATGTGCTTTTAAGGTTGAAATTTATTTATTTGCGTGTATATGTACACGCACTAGAAATGGCTGCTGAAGCCATATTTTGATTATGAAATGTTTTTTTCAGGTGTTTGAAATATGTTCGTTGATACGTTGTTGTTATGAGTCTCATTGCTGCTGTTGCTTTTGCTCTTTGTGTTTGAAATATGTTCGTTGATACGTTGTTGTTATGAGTCTCATTGCTGCTGTTGCTTTTGCTCTTTGTTAGCGTAATTCAGGAGCCTTCAAGTTCGTCATCCAGAGAAGAAAAGGGCAAACTTGCTTCTACGAAACTCGTTTTTCTCAAAAAGTCACGAATAACTCGTTATCACAAGAAATTACCGAAAAATTAGCTGCATTCATCCTCACTGATGAGACCACTTTGAAATTAGAAGCCGACATCTCTAAATTTGCTTACTGCTCATTTGCATTTGGGGTAAGTAACGAAGAGTATCCACTTCGTATTCGACGCTTGAGAATGAAATTTAATCATACCTGGCGGGTTTTAAGCAATAAAGCACTACTCGCAATCGCAAGGCATTTTTCAAACAAACTTTCACTATTATGGGTGTTTCCCCAGTCAGTTGGAGTTGATGGTGGCATACTGGAGTTAATCAAGCATTTACGTATAACCCTCCGTGAACAGAAACGAACAAAACAATTTTTAGAGGACTTGCACATTCAGAGTATCGATGAGTTGTCAGGTAGTCGCCTAAAATTGCTTAAAATTCTATTGAGTTCAACGCTGAATTTCACTTAACCTTTGTAGATTGAAATTAACTCTGGAAGTATTTCACGAACATTTTGAATAAGAAACGCAATGGAATAAGAAGTGGAAATAATACTTCTGTAGATGAGAGGATAGCAGAAAATATTCCTCAGACTGATGTTTCGGTATATATTGACCGCGATTAAGAGACACAGTGGATGNCTTCATCAATACACCTGCTTTCTAGTTCAGGGTCATCACAACACTGCGTAATGAAATCAAAATATCCATATATGTCGTCCGTTTCAGTTAAATTTCATCGTTGAACTGTATCCACGGAAAATGAGAAATTATCAATGAGTTCGTTGAGAATTATTGGGTAGAAGGTTAAGTGGAAATGATACATAAGCATTGTTGCATATTCTCACAATACTATCGATTGCAAGATCAATGAGATGTATCGTTTGTAACAATAAAAATTTCAGCTAATTCTCTATTCAGTAAAATGAGAACCATGCCATTCGGATAAAAATATCCTCAGTTCCACTTTATCAATGCTATCTTGATGATTGCAATTATTCGTGTCTACATACCAGTACAAGCACATTACATACGGAATTTTGCAAACAATCAACCGATAAACGATTTCACAACATCGGACAGTCCATCTTTTGTATGGTCTTCTGCTTTCAGTGATTTAACCTCCTTCAGTTCTTTAAAATCAAAGTTACAAGCATCACAGCTTTCATTTATCTGTCGGCTAAGGATATTTCCTGGTCTTCTCTATCTTTGGCACTTTCATTTGCTCAACATTTGATCCCTTTGTGCTCACAATCAGCGGTCAATATTCACATGCGTTCGCACACTAGACTTTAACATTCNAAGTGAAAGTTCGACAAGTGAAGAATGCGTTAGAGAGCTACGAGTACACTTGCTTGGATTTTTTCGATAATAATTTGTTGTTGGAGGAGATCTGACTGCTCGATGAATAGGTGCTCAGGATTCAATGCGAAATGCATTTCAATAATACATCTAGAAGCATCAGCTATAATATTCTAAATATACGGCACAGCATGTGCATGTAATTGGTGTACATGTGTGTGTATGTGCTTGGTGCCAAGCATTAGAACTCTGCTAAAGCGATTTTTTGCGCTGTTCAAAATCCAACAATTATAGTGGAGAACAAACGCAAAACTACCTAACGAGTCCACATACGCACGAAAGAATGCACATTTTATTTCATTTGATATGATAAAAGTCAACGCTTTTCCATAAGAAGAATGCCACAACAATTTGAAAATGATTGGTATAAATCTTCTCGTAACTTGCTACAAACATACACTGATCGATTTTCAACAATTCTGCCGAATCGATTCAGTTTCTCATCGAGAGTGTTTACCAAAGAAAACGTCATAGCGAATTCGCATGAAAAACGAAAACGCACAATTTTCAGAGCAATAATCAATTACCACATGCAAAAAATTTCAAGGTGCCCAAATAATGCTATGCATTATAAATTTACCAAAAGAAACAAACATCCTACCGACGAACTCTGAACTGTAAATTAGCCAAGTGAATAAAAGGTGTTTTTTAGTAATCCGCAAACATTCGAAGCTCATAAGCTGAAAAGGTGAATCGAACCAACTAGAAATACCATCCGTGAAGAAATTATGACATGAAAATAATAAGACACAAACAAAGTTGAGCAAAGAAATGAACATCGAGTCGATTAGTTAACAACATCGGACTGTATCAGTCAAGTGTTAGTTAGTGACACTTAGAGGCGGAAAAATCATGAGGAAACTTTTTGGAAGAATTCAGTGAATATCATTCACAAGCTGATGAGCATCCGAGACAGCACAGAATATGATTAGTATGTGCAGTTATTGGAACATTCTCATAAGAACACAAGAGTTTCCGTCTTTTAAAGTATCGAGTTAGCACTGAAAATAAAGAGTCCTCTAAATTCCAGGATATTCACAGTGGAACAACGAATTGTTCTCAAACTGTCCCTGAAATGGTGTTTTCCTCTCAAAAAATCTGAAATTGACTGCACAATATCAAGACATGACCACAACGACCATAAAGCATGCAAATTTGATGATTTTGATGATTTTAAATGAAATTCATCAATCTTATACACAAAACGTAGAGTCAGAATGTCTATTGTAGCATCCATTCGAAGAGCGCTACTATGAATCCATGGGATCTTGTGCGATTTAAAAAAAATACAGCACAAGCGAACCACTGCACATAAGATCTATACTCCAATCTTGACGCCTGAATTGATAATGTTATCTCATTTCGGGAGGCCTATATCACCTCAACGAATCCGTCGCATTACCGCACCCATTTTACATTTTTATACCTGCTCTGAGCAGTGCTTCCAAGAATGCAGCTTATATCTGCTGGCCTTTCTGAATGAAGAAGTTTTTTGATCACTGAATGCAGTGTTTGAACAAATTCTCTGAAATTCTCTGAAAACAAAATAAACATGCAAACTGCTTGAAGTGCAAACAATAGTGCAATAACACGATACAATGTGCAACAAAATGCGAGCAATTCAAGCGCATTTGAAAGAAACGACTCACCTCTTTGGCAGAAGAAGACGATGTTGTTGAGGATGTGAGAAGTGACGATAGATGACCGCTGGCACTAGTGCAAGGAGCAGAAACAGAAGTAGGGGCAGTAACAGGAGCAGTAGCACTGCTAGTGGTTGTAGCCGAGTCGATAGCAGTAGCAGTAGCAGCACTCATCGATTCAAGTGTTTGTTGTTGATGTTTACGTGTTCCATTTGCCAGCATCATTGCTGGTGAACGTTTCAATCTAAAAAATTCTCCATTCTCGAATGCTCCAATACGACGAGCGATATTCATTTTTTCCAAAAAGTTGCAATTGTTTCCATAATCAATACGAGAAGTCGCAATAAATTGAATTCATTCAGACCCCAATATTCTATGCATTCTTCTTTACAGCCGTCTAGAACACGAAAAAAAANAAAAAAAATGCACTTTCGTTACTTTCTTACGTGTGCTTACCGAAAGAAAATTTATGCTCAAAGAGGACGAGGGAACCACAGTTGTTCAAAAGTAATAGACAACTTCCTGACGTTTCTTCTAGCCGTTTGCTAAACGCAAACGACTAGAACAGTAGTCCGAGGTCTCAACATAAAGTTATGGACTGAAAGTGATAACTCATACAACGGATCATATGAAGTTGCAGCTCGTTTGGTGTAGATTGAGGATTTGGTGTACATTCATCGCCTCATTGAACGTCAATTAAACGCTTCGAATCGTTAGAGAATAGAAACTGAATGCTACAGTATGACGTCCGAATGCTACGCTACAACTTTAAACGGCAGACTTCCGCGGACGATATGATATGACCGCATCCTAACACGTTGACTATCAGTCATTGACGGACAAAGGAGTCAGTCATTCGCGAGACGAGAAAAAAACTTCTTTGGATGATTTTTTAATGAATGATTTTCTATGAATATCACATTACGAATGATCGTAATGTGATATATTCCTAAATCATGCTCATAGTACAAAAAAAAACGAAACTGAGGGAACCTTCTAAGACTACTCATTTTTCGTATCCAAAAATGAACGGTCCAAATGTAAACCAATATTACAGGCAGTTCCTCGTGTAAAACATCCAACAACACATACAAAATAAAGACTATTTTGATAATAGCGATTATTTTACATGATTACTAAATTGCATAAGTGGAGGTAAATCTTGAGATTTTTTCACAAGAACACGTAAATTTTAGAAATGAAGAGCTAGCTGTGCGAGGAAAAAATGCTTTTTCTGAGCGCGTGAATATCTTGAAATCTCTGATGTCTGACGTTTGTCTGAATCATTGGTCCTTGAGCCTTTGGGCTCCATGCTTCCTTCAGACCTCTTTTCTATTGTAAGTAACACGCCAGGAAATCATTCTGAATATATCACTGATGATACATTGGAGAAATATTTTGAGCAGTTGATCAACAGCAATTTGTCAATCTTCTCATCTGATATCTCACAGATTTTAAAAAATTATGTGTGCTAAATGAGAAGTAAGCTTAATAAACGATGACAAGTTGAAACACACCCGGATCTTGCGTAGAGATGATGCAACACTGTAATTTCTTCTATCAGACGACATAGTCCGAGCGAACAATATCAGCAGAAACGAACAATACCTCAGATACGAAGTAGTAAGTGAGGATGAATTTCTGACGGATAAAATGAAACAATTCGTAATCGGATGGAGAATGCGGTGGTGTAGGCAAAAGCGGTAAAATAGATCAAAAGAAGCCTGATGAGAGGGTGCGTTGAGGAGGATTGACATGCATTTCAATGTGATACATCGTGGCACGTTTACGATTAATGCGTGAAATCGGGCATGTGAACCAATTCACATCTCTTTTTCTTGGATGAAATTGAAACTGATTCTTTTTCCTCTATTTTTTGCAATCTATTTCTTCACTACTAAGATCCTTATTGCTCTCTTGTCGCCATGAATTCTTGAAGCTTTTGAAGTGTATGCTGAAAAGTGAGGATTTCTTTTTTGTTGGTAGGCAGCACTGATGTAGCATCGTTACGATTATGCGAAATGAAGAAAGTGGGCGACTTGCAAGTAAGTGTATTGCAGCATTCGCGGAAACAATGAATTTTCATGGAAACACATCACTGTTAGATACGAGAAGCTGACGAGTGAAACGTGAGCAGCACGGAGAAAGAAGAGAACATTTTTCATCATTCAATGAGAATTGCATTCACAATGAATCAATCATGTTCTGCTAGGTTAGTTTCCGTTTCATCTGATACACACAAACAGCGGCGTAATATTAGAAATTGTTTTTGTGGTTGCGCTCACTATCAGAAGATGATGGTAGGAAGAAAGAGGAAAACGAATAAAAGTATCAAAATGAAATGGAAACAAATGAAAATGTCCATGGATAAGAAGGCAATCAAGAGACTAATTTTACAACAANACAACAAATAAATGAATGAATCGCTTAAGTTGCACAGGAAATGACCAAAAAAGAAAAACAATATCGAGTAACCACACAAGATTGTCATTTGATAATTCTCACGTGTAATGAAACGAGTTTTCACACGTAATGTGAATAAAGTCGTATTTGAGTTCCGCGATTCAATGATCAACAAGAATTAATTATGTATTGCCAGAAATGTTCTTTGATTAATTCAGCCATAATTCGATTGACTCATGTTGCAACAAAACGGATTGGTGTTAGCCAATTGCATTCAGCAAGTAGTAATCTGGTGAAAGATAGGAACAGGAAAAGAGGCAGAAAGAAATATTAAAAAGACAACGAGGCAATGATATCATCCGTTCAGGATACAAAAAAGTGCTGAATAATTCCAGAGTGTCTGATGATGGATTTGTGATTGTATTGGAGAAACTCACTTCCCACAATTGAATTTCTCCAATGTGATTTCAAAAAGAGAAATCATTACAAAGGTTGATTTTTTGAATCTGCAGTTATTCAGTTCATTTTTCCGATTCAAATTGCAATACTAGAGACTCTTACATCTTAGACGGTCTTTTTGTTCTGAAGTTTCGTAACTTTTCTTCATCTAATTTCTTGTTAGACTGTCAACGTATTTTTTCACGGCGATACCTTAAGGAATGTATACTTGCTATGC